ATATACACAGTATATATATATATATATATATATATATATATATATATATACACACACAACAACCTTAAACCAATAGTTATTTTTGAACTCGATTATGTCATTCACAATGCTTCATGTACTTGTAGTTATTTCCCTAAACCGTGTAGTTCATAGTCTTGTACCTTTGTTTTTTGACTAATTTTCAAATACTTTAGGTCTGTACCTTTGTGACTCTCCTTGTAGCTAGTTGGTTTGGTTCGTGGCTTATAATGCTACCCAGGCTCATTGAAAATATGTGCCTTTATCTACATTTTTGCAAAACTCAAAAAACGTATCTATACATACAAATCGCTGCTGTTTCCAGTTGAAATGAACACTAGAGGCAGTAAAACTCCAACAAACTTTCTTCCTTTTCACATAAAGTATGATTTACAGGGCCAGATTTTCCTTTAGGAAAGCCTAATTTTTGCACAATTCCTTGCACAATGTTATGTTATGACTTTACAACAATTTTAACATGCTGCAAGATCTGAAATCTGATACTTTTGAACATTAGTGTCACATATACAGCTTCATATGTGTGGGTTTTCAAATGCAGCAGGTTTGCTTGGTAGCTTGTGCGGTGAAGCGCTCCGGTATGCATCCCGTGAAACTACGGTTCAACAAAACAGCTCAAAGCCACGTATAAGTTAAAGGGGTCATATGATGCGATTTCAATTTTTCCTTTCTCTTTGGAGTGTTATGAGCTCTTGGTGCATAAAGAAGGTCTGTAAAGTTGCAAAGACTAAAGTCTCAAATCCAAAGAGATATTCTTTATAAAAGTATGTGGTTGCCGCAAGCCCACCGGACGCTCCTTCATCGAATCCGCCAGCCACGCCGTTCTCAAGCCCGCACGCCTCCGCTCACTCAAGGCCGCGGTGTGTGACGCTTTTTCGTTGTCACGGTTGCATCAGCGGATGCATTTTTATATCACTTTAGCATTCGTTAACACTATCGGGTTGGTTTAGGGTTGGGTTTGGTGTAGGGGGAATGTTATTTTCCAACATGATAGACCATTAACCCTATAGTGACACTATCCGAACATTTGAATTCTGAACTGCCGCAACATAATAAAAACGTGCCACGGTCACGCATTGAATGCGTGTTTTAGCGCCATTCACTGGACATTTCACTTTGAAGCATGCAGTAATGCACACACTGTAATATTGGTGTTGCAGAAACGTCACCACAAGCATGTTCCATGCGATGGCGCCGCAGACGGCAGCCTCAGTGTTTGGCTCTCCAGTGTTTGTACTGTTTTTGCTAGTTTTTCCTGTTTTTTGTTTCTCAAACACGATCAGTTTTACCAGGGATGAACTGCTGAACATTCGGTAGAACACACCACAAAATATCCTACCGGATTTCGATTATTCGGACGTTTTGCTGAACATTGTAGTTGACGGTAGGCTTGCCGCGATAGACGGTGCTGACCGTAATACCGGTGTTAAGCCGCAACACCAGTTACGTCACTTGCCCACCGGAGGTGGGACACTCACATTGACTCCACTGTTAAAAAGGCCCAGCAGAGGTTGTACTTCCTTCGCCCGCTGAGGAAATTCAACCTGCCACAGGAGTTGCTGAAACAGTTCTACTCAGCCGTCATCGAGTCTGTTCTGTGCACTTCAATAACTGTCTGGTTTGGTTCAGCTACAAAATCAGACATCAGAAGACTACAGAGAACGGTTCGGACTGCTGAAAGGATTATTGGTGCCCCCCTGCCTACCCTCCAAGAACTGTATACATCCAGAGTGAGGAAAAGGGCTCAGAAAATCACTCTGGATCCATCACATCCAAGCCATCTCCTTTTTGAACTTTTGCCATCTGGTCGGCGTTACAGAGCACCGAATACCAGGACAGCCAGGCACAAGAACAGTTTCTTTCCCCAGGCAATCTTCTTCATGAACAGTTAATGTTCTCCCATTGTGCAATTAAAGTACAGTATGTGCAATAACCTTATACTTATTTATCACCCTAAACCCTAGTACATCCCTACAACTTATTTTATTTTATTCTATTCCTACTCCATCTATAGCACACCTGTACATACAATTTATTATTTTTTGTGGTTTATATTTATGCATGTGTATTTTATTCACATCTCATTTTTATTATCTGTGTGTTGTTGTTGTCTCCGTGTACTGGAAGCTTGTGACACTATAACAAATTCCTTGTATGTGCAAACATACTTGGCAATAAAGCTCTTTCTGATTCTGATTCTGATTCTGATGTATTTTCAATGAGCCTGGGTTGTTATAACACTTTAACAAAGACTTTTTTAAAATCCCTTTGGGAAATATGAATGGAAAAAATACTTCCGATGCAACTGAAAGAGTGTATGGTCGCTAACTCACCCTGTTAACAAGATCAAAGGCAAGGCTTTGACCTCAGTGCAAATGTACCAGCAAAGCTAGAAAGTCAGTAGGTTTTTTCTTGTATTGTCGTAACTCTTGAGCTTTGTGTGGTGACACATTCCTGCCATCAAGTCCTCTGAACAAAAGAATGAGGAAGAAATTCACAATGGATGTTTTGCTTGTCGGTGGTATTGGTGTCCGGTTGATTTATGGGAATGTCGAGGTTCTGTTGAGCTTTTCTTTTGTAGCTCTCTCACACTCGCAGTAATGGCTCTCAGAAATGTTTTCTACAGGTGAAGTGTCTCTCTGGGTCAGTGGAGTTTGTTCACAGGACTTTTTGTTTTTCAATACAATAGCTTTTCATTGCCTAGCTGTTTGAATGTAATACTTCATCTGCTGAATGTGACTACTATGATAATCCGTCTCTTCTCTTCTCTCTTGTTTTAATCAGTGCTGGATGTGGGTTTGTATGTGTCAGTGTTTGCTGTGTGTGTATGATCTGACTGGTTTTTCTGCTTCAATGTCTGTGTGTGTGTGTGTGTGTGTGTGTGTGTGTGTGTGTGTGTGTGTGTGTGTGTGTGTGTGTGCGTGCGTGTGTGTGTGAGACAGTGAATACTGAAAGCCTCCGTCTGTCTTCAGACTAATTGGGAGTCCTGACTGATCTCTCCTCTGTCTCGCTCTGCTGTCTGTCTTTCTGGGTGAGAGACAGAATTTTAAACAATGTGATGATACAGGTTTTTCATGCAGGATATTCATCTGGTCTTTCCACAGGTTCAGGGTGCAGTAGCTCAGCTGGAGTCTTTATAGCGGCCGTCTGTTTGCTTTATCAGCCCTAAATGTAAACACACCTGCAGGGTTTGTGCAGTTAGATGCCTCTGCTGGCCGCCTGCACACATTACACGTCACGCTCGGAGGATTCAGGCGGCATGGGGAGACACTGTTGTGATTAATATTGCATGATATTTCCGAGACGAGCTAATGGATCAGAGGGGCTTGTTTCTTCATGTCTCGATTTGATTTCTCACAGTATAGAGTATCCACCTGCTGCTCCTCCAAACCCCCCGGAGACGTGTCCCTTCTAATGAGTCCAGGCATGTTACGTCCCTTTATTACGCTCTCTCTCTCTCTCTCTCTCTCTCTTTCTCTCGCTCGCTCGCAGTCCATCTCTAAAGCCTGGTGTGGGCTTGTTATTTCTTGTCCTCTTTAATTAGGCACTGATGAGTCAAATCTGTTGCTGGAGTCCAGTTTATTTTAGTTTAAGTCCTGATTCACTTTGGTTTAGTTTTTTTC